ATTGAGAAAGAGAGGGGGGAAGTATAGGTGAAGATCGAGAAAGAGTAGAGGAAAGAGCAGCTGAAATGACCCCCTTTGCTCTTACTTCCATCGCTGTGTCTGAAGTCTAGCTACTTTTAAAGATTTACTGGTTGCTAAGCAATGAAATAAACCTGTTTGTAACTGGTTTGGCATGGTAGAAGTCTGTTATACACCTCGGTCTCGGTTGCTATGGGTTTATTTACCTCGGGACTACGTCCCTCGGTAAATAAATCCCATAGAAACCTCGACCTCGGTGTATAACCTATACTTCTACCATGCCTACTTGCAATTGACCAATCAGATTGCGTCCTACGAGGTAAATATAATCGCTTATTTACCTCGCCGAGGTAAATATGGCCAACTTATTAAAGTCGCCAAACAGGTTTTCTTAGTTATTTACCTTGCGGACAGCCCGGGAGCAAACAGGTTTCTAATTATTTACCTCGAAGCATAGCTATGGCGTCTGGAGTAATCATTTTTAGCAGAGAAAGCAGCAAAGAACATCTAAAAGAAAGAAATAGAGCCTCAAAAGCATTGGGCCATGTGATAAACTTCTTAATGGGTGGAGTGGAATTTGGAAAGGCGTGTTCTGGGCGTGTTTTACTGTACACACATGGCGCGAGTGAAGAAGAGATTTTCCCGTTTCTTTTAAGAAGATACAAAGAAGTAAAGAGGCCTTGTGCTTTTATAAAGCCTTGCTAATCATAGGCAGTTTCTTAGCTACAGATTTGGCATGGTAGAAGTCTGTTATACACCTCGGTCTCGGTTGCTATGGGTTTATTTACCTCGGGACTGCGTCCCTCGGTAAATAAATCCCATAGAAACCTCGACCTCGGTGTATAACCTATACTTATTGTAATAATACACTAATAATTTACTATTAATTTACTAGTTTTAAAATATCGGTTTTCTTTCCTCCTAGTTTAGTGAAGAAGCCTCTAGGCCACGCCTCCTCGTTAACTTTACCCGTCAAATCGGATAACCTTAATATTAATTAATAAATGAAGGATTAATTAATTAATTATTAATAACCTCTTGATTATGGTATGACCAGCTAGTTTGACACCTTGAACAGGATCAATAAAAACCAGTGACGGCTAATTAATAATAATAATAATGATACTTTAATTAGGAGGGGCTTACCCTTATGTCATTGTGGACTATTCCTTGTGAGTGAAGATAAGCTACAGCCTCCAGCAGCTGCTTACTATAAAGCTGGAGGGACTTTAAAATAATAATTAAAATTATTAAATTGATATTAATGCTTAAATACTTTTCCAGTTATTGGAGAGGAACTTGATCCTTGAAGGAGAGAGTTCAGACTACCACCAGTAATGTACTCCATAGTAACCTACAGCAGGGGAGGGAGGAGGAGGAGGATCACCAGCTCCATGTACATGTACATGGAGCTGGTGATTTTGAAAAGGAGAAATTTTGGCTATTTTGATAGCTAAAAGTAAATGTATTTGCCAGAACAATTCATGTTTGTAAAATCAAAACACTCAACATCCTCCAAAATTTCCCCTTGAACAGTGATATACATGTACATGTACCTCCACTAGTATCCCATGTTCGGTGAGATTGTGTCTCATTAATAAATATTTGACAATTGATGAGTGATTGATGAACCTCTCACTGAATGAATCATATTCCTGTCTGATACTAGCAACCTATTAATGATACATCAAGAGTTAAACTTTGAGAGACTAATCTAAGTAAAAATGGACACTACCCTCACTAGGTTACCCTCACTCCTCCCAACTGAACCAGCCCCAGCCTATGAACAGGCAGTGAGTAGAGTAGAGGAAACCATTGTTGTTGTTATTATTATTATTATTATTATTATTATTATCATCATTATCATTATCATTATCATTATCATATTATTATTATTATTATTATCATTCTTACTTGTCTGCTCCTCCTAGTGTCAGCCTTCTTCTGTGTCTTACATGGTATTATCCATTCATAGATACACACTAGACTGCCACTATCAACCTCCATGCCACAGTACACTGAATAGTAACCATGACTACTGTCTCCTAGCAACATAATGATATACGTACACTCATGGAGTCGTTCAGACACTAACCCAGCAGTTTCCCACGGAGGATGTTCCCGTTCCCTCGTCCAACAATCGGATTATCCTCAAGAGGGGGAGTAGGGGAGGTTAGTGATGTCATCAC